TGGTGCTCATTAGCAAATTAAATAGCACCGGCGAAAGCACCGAGCCTTGCGGTACTCCCCTCGTTTGGGTATGAGTAGATGATGAAAACCCATCTTTAAAACAATAAAATTTCCTGTCTGCGAGAAAATTGTGAACCCACGCTACTATGTATGATGGAAAATCAAGGTATTCTAATCGAACTATCAAAATACAGTGCTCCACGGTATCATATGCTTTAGCAATGTCTAAGGTAACTAAAGCAGCATATTTTTTATGTAGCCGAGCTAATTGAAGCCTACTTTCTAAGTCAACGTGGGCACCCCAAATTGAACAACCAGCCCTGAACCCAATTTGACAGGGACTTAGAATAGACCTCATGGTAATAAGTTCATTAATTCGTATATTGATGATTATCTCAACCAATTTCACTAAGTTTGATATCAGTGCGATCGGCCTTATGTTATCCAACGTGTATGCATCATTTTCATTTTTTAGCAACAATACAATTTTGGCAAGTTTCCATTCTGGAGGTATCCATGCATTCCCCAAAGAGTAATTCACTAGTTCTAGCAAAAGATTAGGCGATTCCTGGAGTAAACATTTCAACATAGAGTTCGTAATCCCATCTGGTCCGGGAGCCGTCCTCGGTAAGCATAATACTGTCTGATTCAATTCAGCTAAAGAAACTTCTGGAAATTCATGCAAGTTTACCAGAACGGACTGAATAGCCGAAAAATTCGCAGTAAAGCGGCGTTCTAAACCTTGCGCTATGTCTTCTAGAGAGGTGTTCATTTCTACCGGCGTCAAGACACATGACTGCAACGTTAAAGGTGCTGGTAGTACTTTTCTTGTCCGAAGATAAGCGAACAAAGCACGCTTATTTTTTGATTAAGAAAGATAATCAAAATGTCTACTCTCGTATTCTTCTTTCGCGCGGTTCACTGTACGCTTAAATACGCCAGCAAGGAATTGATAGTCTTTCCAGTTTGTTGGGCTCTGATTAAGAAGAAGTTTTTTCCAAGCGGCTTTTCGTCTTCTATAATCGCGCGTACACTCATCGTTCCACCAACGAGAGGAGGATCGTTTATTGGATGGAATAGAAAATTCAGAACTTTTTCTAGATCCCTCCAGCATTGAACCTATCGTAGATGCAATCTCCTTAGTACTGGCATTTCCAAGCTTGGAAATGGCAGAACGGAGGCAGGCTTGAAATTTGCTATGGTTGATGTATGTGCGTTTTGGCTGATGTAAAGTTATTGTTGGACAAGTAATGTCAAAAACTACAGGAAGATGGTCACTGTTAGTTGCCGAATCCAGAACAGCCCATGACAAAATCTTGATTGCATTGGAGCAAAACGTTAAATCTAATACTGAGCTAGTTTGACCTCGGACAAATGTTACATGACCTTTATTCAGACAGGAGAGGTTGTGATCAATAGTCCATTCCCACAGTCGCCTACCACAAGAATCTGTCCTTATACCCCAAGACAAATGGTGTGAATTAAAGTCTCCTGTGAGTACAATTTCCTTTCTACATGCTACCAAAACGCTGTCAAGATAACGCGTGCTTTGCACACCGGAGGGGAAGTAACAATTTACGATTGAAAAAGGGTGGTATCCGGGGAGACGCAAGTCTAATGCTAATAATTCGTAATCCAAGTCTAACATTCTGAAAGAAATTTTCGCCCTATCGCATAAATTACTTGATACAAGGATCATTAAACCACCACCACGTGATGGGCAATCTAATCGAAAAGAACGAAAACCTGCAAGATGGAAATTTCTATCTGGTGTAAGCGAAGTTTCTTGGAGAATTATAATATCAAGATTAAAATTATTGCAAAAGTAATGTAAGTCGGTTGAGGCTGAGAATATAGAACGGCAGTTCCGCTGCAGTACCCTCAACTCACCTATGGTGTTGAGCGCACCACAGAGGCTGAGTTCATGTTCTCACTTAGTCAGGATGATGATGATGATGATGATGATGATGACCTAGTGAGAACAGGAAGTCAGCGTTCACTCTTCGCAATCGCTCATCTACAAGCAAGAGACTTTCAATAATTACTTAACGTGGAGTCCATGCGTGCGCAAGGACCATTTGTGAATGTATGCTGTGTCTTAACATTGACCTTGATGCTTATAAGACTCAAGGTTGGAGTGATGTCATCCTACAAGCAGCGCAGTGCCATAATGCCATTTCGGAGAAACTGTTCAACCACAATTCCCTGTGTAACTGCAGAAGAGAAAATGGTGGGGCTCTACAGCACTTTTCTCTATGTGATCGATATCCCTGCTTCCTAGAGATTTTATTGGACGTAGTTGATGAAAGCTGAAAGTAATGGCAGCTGCAGAAGGCTGTTTGCAATACATTTAGAGCTACTGTGTAGCATAAGCGAGGCAAAACACAAGTACACCGTATGGTGTTGATTATACGGGTTTAATTGCTTCTCAAGCATAAATATGTTTAATCTATCTGTGTTGACCTTATTGTCGGTGTCGTATTTTTCTAGAATGAGATACTACTTATTGGTTCTGTTTTCATATATGAAAGAACGACGAATAGAATCACTGAATGTGCGCGGCAACTGCGTTGCAGTATATTTTCAGAAAAAGGCGCTATATTTTCCAGCTGTAGCCAGCCAGATGGTTGCGAGCACAAGCGTAGGTGCCAAAGACGATTGTGCCAGAAAATTTGGTAAGTCGTTCGTCATTTATTTGTAGCAGAGTACCAACATAGAACTTTTATGTTATGAAATTTGTCGCTCTAAAGTGACCTGACATGCTCATTTCGAACAAATTGCAAAATTAAAACTCATTTCGTTGCGCACATCACGTTGCGACTGCACAACGACCTTGTGCTTGAATCCGTTGACTTCCACAAATCAGTCTTGTCTTCGAGTTTGTCCACAGTCCACAAACGGGCCTGTAGTGTCTGCAGAGTGACCATGAACAGTCCGAAACATGGACTCGAAGCCGCTTTATTACTCAGGACACCTACATATGTACAGGGCAGGGACACATACACTACGCCCCCTCTCGGGTACAAAGAACAGAACGAAACAGAAACTAAAATCACATTACAACAGGGCCCTGAGCACATTTTTGTATTGATGGCATATTTAAGCGGCTGCAAACGTTTAGAGCTATCGGCGAATGATCTGTATGTTCCTGGCTTTGCGCCAGCGTTTCGTAAATGCCCGGTCTATTGCTCTAGAGTGTCTGTACCACGCAACCGTGGGCAACATCAAGGAAACATTCGTAACTGACAGGTGCGTTTGTTGAAAAGGACCGCACCGACCAGCTGAAAACTGCAGTAAAACTGGCCTATAAATGGCCGGGGGATCCACGGGCGCTTGCTCACTTTGCCAGATGCGGCGAGCCTGAGCGTGCCGGTTATGGCTGGCGCCGGGAACGAAGCGGAAGGGTCGGCATCCCCCGGCAGCCCCGGTCGGGACGTCCTCGACGAGGAACACGGCATCGAGACGGCGAGCAAGACGCTGCGACGCTTCCTCTTCCTGACGTCAGTTCCTGCAAGGCATCTCCTGCGGCATCCTCGAGCCCTTCTGCCAGAACGAGGTTGGAAGCGTTTAACACTTCGATGAACTGACGAGATACTACGCTGTAGCATATGACCTCTATTGCAGTAGAGATGGAAATTCTAGTTCAAGTACTTAGTTTTTCACAATAATTCGGAATGGCTTTCATGGCTAAAAGCCGTGGTTCCTGTCTGCCATGAGCCGTCATATTCATCATCTCTATCGAGTAGTAGTAGTAGTCGTAGTAGTAGTAGTAGTAGTAGTAGTAGTAGTAGTAGTAGTAGTAGTAGTATAGTAGTAGTAGTAGTAGTAGTAGTACTAGTAGTAGTATTAGTAGTAGTAGTAGTAGTAGTAGTAGTAGTAGTTAGTAGTAGTAGAAGAAGTAAGAAGAAGAAGTAGAAGAGAAGAAGAAGAAGAAGATAGAAGAAGAAGAGAAGAAGAAGAAGAAGAAGAAGAAGAAGAAGAAGAAGAAGAAGAAGAAGAAGAAGAAGAAGAAGAAGAAGAAGAAGAAGAAGAAGAAGAAGAAGAGGTGGTTGTCATTGTCACACTCATCATGTGGTTAGAGAAGAGAGAGTGAAATAAATATATAAATACAACAAAATGATCATGAAAGTGGTTTTGTATGATAATGATGATGCTTCAAAAGTGTGACCGGGTGTATTTCAAACTTAGTGGTGGATTTCAAACACCGCATGATATCGCTAGCCAATCGCACGAACTCGCGTGCATACAGCGTTGGTGTCCGTTCATTTAAAAGCGTGGAACAGGCAGCTATAAAAAAACGTTTATTTAAATAAAAACAATGCACTTGCATTGATGCATCGTGCCATCAAACACAATGACACACATGGCAGATTAGAGGGAGAAAAAAAGAGGGAGGGTCGTTGTGACAGAAAAGGGATCACCGGAACGTAGGAAAGTCGCCTTGGTGCACGGATATGTATTTTCTACCCTTTAAAAAAGGCCGCTTCAGCACCATGAGCGTATCCACAACAATAATCCATAATTGTACATGCCGCGTTTTTAAGGCTTCATGGTATGGTTTGTGGTCATAAATAGCATCATGTTTTATTATTATGCACTGTATTTGAAAAGCTAAAATTTTGGCGCGTTAATTAATGCACTTACTTTAGGATGAGCCCATGTACCAATACTGTGTCGACTCTGGGATTGACCTATCACCTTGTTGTTTGACTGGGCAGCGCGGCATCTGCAGAGGCAGCTCGCGTCTTCGGGCCATCGTGTTCATAGGGTGTTTGGTGTTAAGCGCAGCCGCCGCTCTCAGCTTTAGTAGAGAAGCCAGTTCGCAATGACTACCGCATATTTATGAAACCACACGGACTCCAATAGCATGGTAATTTATCCAGCAATTAAGGCAAGGATTTGTGACTGATTTATTTCAACATTCTTGCACAGCTGACTCCTCGTAAAGGCTTCGGGGCACTCGCTTCAAACGGCTTGCACGGATGCTACATTCTAGGGGCTCTGCTGCTGACGCCATGGACCGCGACATTGGTATGCCTATTTAATGACTTCACCTTTACTGAACACCTATGTTTTACTTCTAAGTGAAGTCCTAAGTTAACGTACGTAAGGTATACTTCCAAATTCCAGGCTAAACAGTGAAATCATCCTGTTGAGTCATCTGTGGGCTTCGGTAACTATCTGCGGTGTCTTATAAAAGATTAGACACGGCAGTCCCTGAGCACTTCTGCTTACCATTATCGTATTGTTTGAAAATATTTACACGTATGAAGGGTGAACGAAGCCTATGGATAAGTGATTCTTGACATTCCGCATAACCCCGTCACACCGCTTTTGTTTGTCTGAAATGCAAATATATTAGCGCCGTACGACATTGACTTTCAGATGCTGAGGGACATCAAGATGCGCAAGCTTTTTCAGTTGGGGCCTTTTCATCGAAGGAGCCTGCTGCTTCAGTTACGAGTAAGTGCCCTCCACGGGACTGTATGGAAAACACATTGATTCGAAATACACAAACGAACGAATAATTATATTCAAGTGTGTACGTGGTCACGAAATCGGCAATTGAGTGAGTAATTAGTAAAACATCAACCATAATCAAGTACAAAAAGCTCTGCTTCCATTCATGTGGTTTGCAGGTTCCTGAAGCCCTTCCAGCGTTCCTTCTTGACGGGAAGTATTCGAGCCATCCAGGGAATCGGAGCATCGTTGGTCTTTCCCGGCTACTTCTTCATTGTGTGCGTCCAGTTTTCACGAGAGATTCCCACGTTAATAGTGAGTGATGTCGGTACTTTGGACAGAATGTACGGCATGTTAAGTTATATTGTGCGTAATTAGGCTACTAATGAAGTAAGGCCGCTTGCACGTTGCGGGCTGGGCATAACGCAAAAAAAAAAATCACAGCATATCCACGGAGTAAATTAAGATGAAAGGGGCGAAGCGTCTATCAGCCCGTCCGTGCTTCCGTCCGTCCGTTCGGGCTTCTGTCTGTCTGCGCGACCATCTATGCGTCCATTCCTGCATCCGTCCGTCTGTCCGTGAGTCCGTCCGTGAGTCCGTCCATCCATCTTTCGTGCGTCCATCTATCTGTACGTCTGCGCGTCTGCCCATCTGTCCGTCCGTCTTCTAGTCTGTCTGTCCATCCGTCCGCGCGTTCATCTAGTGAACACTCCAGGTACCGCCATCTCGCATCTCGCATCCCCTGGGGCACATACCCGCTCTGCGCGTCCGCCCATCCGTCCGTTCATTTTCTAGTCTGTCTGTCTGTCTGTCTGTCCGTCCATGCGTCCGTCCGTGCGTCCACATAGCAAGTACCGCTATCTCCCATCTCGCATCCCCTGTGGCCCATACCAGCTCTAGAGCGGGTATGTGCCACTGGTGGATACGTACGAAAACATCGGAGGATGTACAGACCCACGCCTTAAGGAGCTTTGCTTTTAAAACTTTCTTGACTGGCCCCAACTGATAGACACATTGAAGACATTGCCAGATATGATGCTGACTAGGAGCCTCTTTAATACTCTGAAATAACTCCAAGGTTTTTCACTTCATTGTGGTGGCGACGTTTGTAGAAACCTTTGTAATGACAATCTGCAGCAGTTCAACATTTTTACTAGAATCTGTAAGCGACAAGCTGTGTGACTAAGATGAAGCTAGTCCAGCGTGACCTAAGCTAGACTACGCGGAACATAATTTGCGATTAAGACCCTTTGAATCTCTTCTGAGGTACTGGACTGAGCTTAGCAATCGTTCGATGGCTGGCACAAAATAGTCGACGTAGAATAACAAAGTGGCAGTGGAATTGTCGTTGTAATGGTGGAGAAGACATTCAAGCCTCATCAAAATATAGAAATGAACTGATATACGCCTTTACTTAACTGTGACGGGAGGACTTAGGAGGTTGTCAGTTGTTTGCGGAAAACGAGAGCAATTATTTTAACTTTTTAATCATAAATCGACATTGTTAACAACTTATATTCTGTGGATAAATGATTCATCATAATCATCATCATCGTCATCGAAGTGATTACGCCCACTGCAGCGCAAATGCCTCCTCCATGATCTGCCAATAAACCCGGTCTTGTGCTTTCTGCTGCCACCCAATACCTGCAAACTTTTTAATCTTATCGGCTCACCTAATTTTCTGTCTCCCCCTAGCGCTTTGGTCTTCTCTGGGCATCCAGTCAATTACCCTTAGTGATTAGCGGTAATCCTGCCTACGCGCTAAGTGCCCGTCCCATGTCCATTTCTTCTTGATTTCAATTATGATATTCTTAGGCTGCTGTAAACCAGTAAGGGAAAACAAGCAATGTATGTTTTTACTTTTGCAGCCAAAGATTGGAGCCTGTTTTCAGCCTAGGAATGGTACTGTGGTTGTTCTGTAGCGGATTTCTTATCGGAGTAAGTACAAAGTTCTTGTGTGCGTCTCATAACAGTGCTTTCCACCAACGTGACCCAATTTTTATGGCGTGTTGTCCTGTGAATTAGTTATTTTTGAGGTGTGATTTTTGACTTGTTGCGGCAGTGTAAGATGTGGCAAACAACATACAAAACAACACAACATAACACAAAATCAAAAAAGCTCTTATGTGTGCGATGTTTGAGATGTATGTAAAACAACAACAACAAAAGGACACTCTAAAACCTTTGCCACAGTACTTCTCAGGTGGTGTGCTTCTTTGTAATCAATGTCAGTTTGCTTTATATACTACATTGGATATAGTTAGACACAACGTTAACAAACGACGAACAAAGGACTGAAGTTAGTTTTATTTGTACAAGAATGCTTATAGGCTAAAACTATATACCAGCACTTTATTCATGGGTTCGTTTCATCCGAGGCTTGTAATGTATGCATCAGTGTATTCTTCTTTGCCACTGAACAGAACTGAAAGAAAACTACTGAAGTCTGCTAACGGATGGTTGTAGTTTGTTGAAAGTTTACTTGTGATTGAAAGGACGCATATCTTGCTACACGCTTGGTGATCAAACTGTCTTGCGAGCGTTTTGAGACAGTTTTGATTCAATCAAGAAGGCCAGTCACGCACGTGCGCCGGGAGGGGTTCATAGTCCGTTGACTTCGATCCCTTTTTTTTACATCCTCAGGTCCGAGCGGCCTTCGCAGGTTTAGTGTCTGAACACACGACAGCGTGGTCGGACTGACAGCCCGAACTGTTTGTGCAGTTAGTATTCACTGCTACCCACGTGAGTCCAGAGACAGAGACAAGTGTAACTATGCTGCGTGTGGCGATCAGTACACGCTGTACCGTACAGGCTTAATGAGACCCCGGAAACACAGCGGTAGTTTCGGTTTCAAGAAACATGCACGCTCGTAGCTGTGGCCGGGCATCCTAAGATCCGTTGAAATGGAGCGAAGTTGATGTGAATGTACACGCATTTATTGGGTTTTGCAAGTTTTCACAAATAAAGAAATACTATACCGGCGTATAAACTTTTCTTTTGTTAAAATGTCTTTTTTAATACTTATTTTGCGAATTTTAAATCAGGCGAAGTGCAGGAAGTAGTTCACTTGAGTTAGCCTCCGCTCCTTCTCGCCCTTGCGCTCAGTGACATTACGAGTTAGATCGCGCTCAGTTATCTCGCGAACGGTAAAGATAGCAAGTTGTGGCGGGCAAAGACCAGAGGCTGCAGTGACCGATGCCGAGCAAGGCCAGCATGCATTCGGCGAAGAAGGCTAATTCAGGCAACAGATGTTTTTCGCGGTTCTGCGGAGTGTTAACCCGGGGATTTCCAGTTCCGCGAAGATTTTTCAAGTTTCCTGGTGGCGACGGGTGAGCACAAGTATTTGGACTCATTGTTTGAGAAGGTATTTATTTTGCATGAGTGCTTGAGTAAAGTGCACGATGGGGGAAAATCGATGGCCTCAGTATTAAGCGTTGAAAGAAACCGCAGAAGTGTGAGAGCGTGACATGTCCAAATGGGGGAGATTTGCAGTAGTTTTTCTTTCCAAGCGTGCTTACAAAAAATGCAGGCACGCTGCACTGAACCACGGTCGTAAAACGTTTCAAGCTGAGCAGACTCGGTGCAGTGTGAGGTAGGTATGTAGGTAAAAACTTAATTTTTCCTCTTGAAAGGGATAGGGCAGTGGGATAAAGAGAGGGGAAGGCCACCATACACGGTAGCCATTCGAAAGCCTCTCAGCTCAACCCAGGATGGCCTGTTGTGATAATGTGGGATATATAACGTATCTTCGTATTACCTGCTAGAATATTTGGCAGAATATTGGCAGTATGAACTGCTAGAATATTGGAGTAAGCGCCAAAAACATGCACCAGACGAAGATATTGTTTGCTTTTTTAAGGCTCTTTCTTAAAATAATGTTCTCACAAAAGGTGAGTGATCGAAGATTGCTATCTTTTAACTGATAACGGGCTCAATATCCCTCTTTCCACTTCTACAGGCTCGTGTTCTGATGTTCCCGTTCATCTGCGTTGGATGCCTGCTCATTATCTGCTCGTTTTGGACACCGTTCATGATTCCTCAATACCGTAAGTCGGAAGCGATCTTTTCATTAGACGCCGTCAAATTTGTTTGACGGAGAAGCCTCATTTGTTTACTTTTTTGTGGTTGAGCCTAGTGGCTATCTTTTTCTCATTTTCCTCGATAGTGCCGTTCACGTCGAACCCTTGCGGCACGAGTAAAGCTTGCAGTTAAAGATATTCTTGTCGTCGCAAGTGAATCGCAAACGAACCGATTAAGCATCTCGCGCCCCAAGACTTTGCGATTTTTCCACTAACTCACTTGATGTTCACGCGCGGGTACTGCCTTTATTCACAGCATGCGATCAATATGAACGCTGGAATAACTGCGCTGAATCTTTCTTTGTCGGGTGGTAACGTGCGGGCAAATCCCCCGCCTTTATTGGATGCTCACAGATCACGCGTGCATTCGTTTCTACTCCGAAAGTTAAGCCACTCGAATCTCACTTGTTATACGCACGTTTACGAGCCCACATTACCTCTTCGCGGAACCGGTTATAAGCTTTTTTAAACACATTTAATATGTAGACGTGTATTACGAGAGAGGATTTTCTTAACAGATTGTATCGAAGCGTCCTTGGTAACACACTACTTTAATGGGAAGCGAAAGACAATTAAGCCAAAGAAAGGAGGCATTGTTTCTATAGTGCTTATGTTATAATTGGAAATAAATTTATCGGAAAAAAAAGTAGCTTGCTGCCCACAGGGACCATTGAAACTAAGTAGGAGAGCCTTTTTCTTTGTGATTACTTAAATTTTGTTGTATTTATAGCTGTGTGACACCCAACCAAATGGAGTATAGGGCAGATACGGTGTTTTTATCCACTTTCACTTTTATTAATAAGTGCCTTTAGATCTTAGTCATTCTAACAAAAATAAACAGGAAGACGTTTTTCAAAAGTGTCTCGGCAATAAAGCGAAGCGGCTCTAGACTCACATATGGGCACAAGCGGTTTTACCTTCACACGTTTTGAGAAAAACCGTCATGCTATTAATCAGACACGCACTCGGAAGTTTTCTATGCAAATAAATAGAAGTGGGGGCTGTGAAAACGCATTTGACCTCTTTCACTCTCTGCGACGAATGCTGGCAGAGTCGCAAATCGCCGCTATTTATTCGCAGCGATGAAGGAAACACAGTGAGTGAAGCAAGGGAGGCCAGCACTGTCGACATCGTAGTGCACTGAATGGATTTGGATATGACGTTAGTTTTAAAAGTGTGCAGTGTAATTTAGCTTGCTCAATGTGTAGCGATGCGTGAAACGTGAGGGGTGTATTGTAAGGGAGGCCAGCGCTGAGCACTTTCGACTTTGCACTACAGTGCATGGATTTAGAAATTGCGCGATTTACTATATGCAGTGTGTTGAAAGCTTTAGAGCTGTGTTGTTTGAGAGCGAGTTCGCGAAAGAAACTGTCGTCTGGTGCGGACGCTTTATCTCAAATAGTCGATCGTGTGAGTAAAAATATTCATGGAATTCGAGGAAATGAGGCATGCGCACAAAAAAAGAGCTTAATTCCGCGCTGCCCATTTCGGATTCGAGGAGGATCTCTTCGTCTTGATTTTGTTGTAGCTGCCGCATTCTATATAAAAATCTTTTTTGTCCGCATTTTATATAAAAATCGCGTAATACTCCAGGAACGCACTACTAAGTGATTATAGTTAAACGCTGCTGAAGTAGCCTGCATTATTGTAGAAATGTGTCGCTAATTAAAGCTAGTTCTTTTTACTCTTGTTCCCTTTTCTACACAAAAAAAGAAAAAGAAAAAAATTGCATGAAGCTTTGATAGAGGCAGGCAAAAGAAATTTTTTGTTTGTTTTGCATTAGATGAGTGCAGATTAATGTTTGACCTCGACTGAACTATACAATTTTACATAAATGTCTTGACTCTCCAGAGAAAGAAAAAGAAAGAGCAAAGTTATGCCTTGCGGTCCTGGAAACACAAAAGTTTATCTTACCAAGCTTTGTTGCGGAAGGATGGCGTTGCCGACCTGCGAAACGCCAAAGCTTAAAACACAGTGTCAATGAAGTTAACCCTCCCCTCCTTCTTTTTTTAGTTGAAAGGGCATGAATTTCTGTTTGCTGACCTTTATATAGAGGTGTGAAATCATTAGGGTGCACGTATACTCGAAGGCGCCTTTTCACTGTATGCAACTACACGACAGGAGGCGGTATTGCGGACTCGGAAACGAGGCGGCTGTCTTTGATAAATGCTGGGCTCGTGCATATTTCCTCGGGACACGTTAACGCACCGTACGACCACGCCCATGCGGTCGAGGCGTCGTTGCAAGTTGTAATTAGGGCCTGTAATAGCGAGGTACGTGGACAGCGTCTGCACACAATGGGGCAATTTCGGCCACTCGATGGTTTCGGCAAAGAGCGCCTTCGTTTGCGTGCCGCTTTGGCTGAGCCGCAATCACATCTCTCGAAAGCGAAGACCTAGCGGGAGAAGGACACTTGACGACGTATTCTCACTCCGATATGATTCGGGGTTCGGCAACGTGGTCTGCCGCATGCCATGCGTCTTTATGCGCACAGAATGTATTTGCCGTCAGTTGAAAGCACGCAACACGCATCTGCTCTGCGAAGCGGTGGGTAGTTGCTATACGGATATACGTTCACGTAGTGAAGGATTGTTAGGGATTCAGCGCGGTAATCGTTAGAAGACTCGTATGACCAGGGCGGGGCCACCATAGTCGCAGTCCGAAACGTTTGCATCGTTCATCTCGTCCAGCGATCTTGGACGTTTATGACCGCGCTAAAGGCGAGCTTCGAGCAAGTTTGCGAAGGTTAATCTAAGAATGGACGTGCATAACTTTAGCGATTTGTCTAGATTTGCTAACTCTGATGATTTCCATAGGATTGTACGGGTTTCTTTAACCCAAAATGAGATCGTTGCCTCTGTATATTATATTGATAGAGGTTTGCAGTAACAGCGCAAATACCTATCACGTAAAGGTGAGGCTACGTAAAGGTGTAAGGCAGTGCAGACCGGGTGAAAGGTCGACAAACAAACAAACCCTTTTTCAAAACAAACCCTTTTTCAAAACAAACAAACAAACAAACAAACAAACAAACAAACAAACAAACAAACAAACAAAGACAGCAGAAGCACTTACGATATCAGCGCTGCTGTTTTTTTTTTCACCTTTTTCATTCTTGTTGTTTCACTTGATGTGCACAGCCACACGCTATATAACGACCAGCCAACTAGTCCGGCACTACAATACGTGATATAAATTCCCTTTAATTTTTCAGGGCAGAAACATGGTGGATTCAAAGCTGGGATTGGGAGCTTCCTCGCCGACGCAAGTGTTCTCCTGGACTTGGCGATAATGGCAAATGCGTTCCTGCTATTCATCGGCAACCGCTTCTCGCTAGCGGACGTCCTGCTCAAGGTATACCTACTGTGGGGCTCTATAGATTGACGAAGCTTTTTTGACAATTTGAGCCAAAAAAAATTCTGGACGTTTATACAGCCGGCTTTCTTTAGCGTCATGATCCGCTTAAGTCCACAAATTCGCTAGAAGGTTGAAAGTAGTGCCTATTATGAGTTCACAATGTTTCATGTGCTATACTGACGCATTCAAAAAGCTATAGTAATAGATAAATGCAGGTTGCTTACAAAACGTTCAGCACAAAGAAGGAACCAGGCAACCAAAATATTTTAACGACCACTCTATGTGCATGAAAAAAAAAGATATCTCTGACGAAGTTATCGTTTACGCTTGACATAATTTCTGAAAGGGGTGGCTGTCAGAGTTTCTAAGAAGGTGATCATTTATTCTAATTTTGCCCTGTTGTTCTGCACGTGTTGCTATTACTCTTAGAGAGACAGATTATGCTTCTTATAAATTAGATGAGGGATATTCCCAAACTAAATAGTCCTTATTCTGACTTAGCCACGCAATGATAACATGGTGATATGAACGGTTTACAATATCCCAGCCACAGCCACACACGTTAAGCCACTCTTTCGAATGTCGGGCATCAATTGTACACGAGCACTGGTCGTACGTTAGGATTCGCTTCACCACCCAGCTTAAAATAGGTTTATGCAATGGAACAAAGCAATGTAATGGTACGATTGAAATCATCATCAATGAAAGGAGGTCAAATGGGCAACCCTACTCGACTTCACTACACTTTGGGACTGCTATGCATTGCTATACCAATGGCACTGCTCACTGTAGTATTAAAGTATATGCAACTCATTGAATCAGCAACAACAACAACAACAACAACAACAACAACAACAACAACAACAACAACAACAACAACAACAACAACAACAACAACAACACGTTCAAAGACTTTCCATACGAAGGTGTCACGGGCTCAATCCCGGCCTCTGCAATCATGGAGGCAAAATGCTCAAGGCCGGTGTACTGTGTCAGCGCGCAAGAAAAAAAAACACACACACTAGAATGTCAAAATTTTCGGAGCCCTAAACTGCGTAGTCCCTCACAACCATATCCTAGTTTTGGGATGTAAAACCCCAGATATTATTTTTAAAGGCCCCTTGCACTACCTCCAATATATTTTCCAACATTTGAAAGCAACAATACATTGTATTCAGAATGCCGTCAGGATTAACGATGCCACACTTGGAGGTGCTATAGAAGCCACTGATACGTCACAAATCCTAATAAATAAAAGAAAAAAACCTTTTATCTATTCCGTGCACTTCCGGCTTGCCGAGGGACGTCAGCACGTCGAATGTGTGATGCTACTTGCAAGCGATGCTGTGATTGGTCGAACAAAAACTTACGACTTTCAGTTAGTGTTCAAGCAGCTGACCGCGCTCTAGGGGAAGTGCATCAGCGCCATGTGTCACTGAACGTGCCCACCATGTTGGCGACCTTTCAAAGCGTGTGCGTAACACAGGGCCTGCACGATCCGTAGAAGCATGGGCCAGCAAGACCCTAACAGCGGTTAGCCGAGAAGCACGGAGTTGATGGAGTTATGTTAACCAGAGGAGGGCACTGTTCCGAAGAGCGCGTCAATGATTACGTGCGCCACGTGATGCCTATTGGGGCATTCATTGAGGAGGAAAGCAGCTTTCGGATGAGACCAGCTGATGAACGGAGGATAGCGAAGGAAAAAGTGAAACGGGGAATCGCCGTAAGTTCGACCACCAGACAGAAATTAGCTCATTTTTTTTTTTCATGAACCACTTACTACTACTGTAACTTCATTATTACGGCACCGTTACAGCCGCAACGGCGCCGTAAGAGCGGATAGCATTGTGAAAGTGCATTGAGAAACCTGTCGCGTATAACGTCAAACCCTCTCCTCCTGACATGTGCACATACCCGTATACCACGTGGCGTGGTATGCCGCGATAACGTCAAACCCTCTCTTCCTGACATGTGCACATACCCGTATACCACGGGCCGTGGTATGCCGGTATCAGCCACAGGTGTTAGACCAATATATGTCTGCCCAGAAACGGCGAGAGCCGAAATCGGCGACTTAAATTTCAAAGCATCGAAAAACGGCCGATATTGCCAGAGTTGGCCCTACGAATGCAAATATTTAAAAAAAACATCAGGATTGCAGCTGGAATCACACCAAGGTATTCGGCGTGCCAGTCGGGTATCAGATGTCTTGCCAGTCAGGTATGCGAGTCAGCCATGCGAGGTCTTGAAACTGCTTTGTAAAAGTGCCCTATATGCAGGTGCAATGCTGGTACAAGCTTAATTGTAGTCGCAATGGTGGGGTTCTAATATTACAACTGAGCAATAGGCATTACATATATGCTCTTCTGATATAGGCGTCATGTAGAGGGCTAAATACATTTCGGTTTCAGGGTTGGCTGCGCTTCGATAGCAGACTAAGAAACATGAAATTTGCATTCCTGTACGATTCAGCCACCTATATTCAAGCGTTGCTCGACCGTGGATGAGTACGCTAACGAAAGTTACGTGCGATATTTAGATCGTGACATCGTAAAGCGCACTTCGTTTCGATAATACCGACGTCCTTGATTTACCGTGAGTGCTGACGTTACGACAGAACACAAGTTACCCTTTAAATGCCAATGTAGTTGACGTGCCTTGTACTCCACTGTACACGCACACTTCTACATATAAAACACGATGATTCACTCCGTAACGCGTCGCTGAAAGCGAAAAATTTCAGCATAGAAAATGATTAGTAGACTGCTTTGTATAGAACGAATTCCCACAAGGCGCGGATTCTACCAAATAATAATAATAATAATAATAATAATAATAATAATAATATAATAATAATAATAATTCTTATTATGTACTTATAACGAATGCTCTGGCAACGGCGTACTTCAGAGCCGTGAGTAAACAGTCATGCATCCAGTTAGTAGTGTGTGATGTAAACGTTTTATTTTAGCGTGAAATTTCTTTTTTTTTCTTGCAGTTTGGGCCCGTCAGCGCTCACACCCACACAGTGACGTCATTCTCCAGTCCGTTGTACATTCTGGCTGCTGGCTTGTGGACAAACATGAGGATGAGCCAGGTGATTTCGTCTGGCATTAATCTTGCGCATCCCTGAAAGTGCAGTAAATGATATACAATAATAGTACTCGAAAGAACATACTGTCCGTGGAGGTCACTACGAAGGCCTTATTGGACACGCTGAAAGCGATTGTTCAATTAGGAAACATTCCGGTTCGCGCATTCTCCACGTACGACGAAGAAACGACAACAGGAGTTATATACGATGTGGATGAGGAGATAACAGACTCAAGTCTCGAGAAACTGCTGTCATCGTCGGCTCCCGTGCTTGGTTTCCACCGCTTTGGACGCACGTGATGTGTTAAAGTAGTGTTTCAGTCGAAGACGTTACCCACACATGCAAAAGTTGGGTACGTGAGGCCCTCGGTACGTCTTTACGTACCAAAACCTCTGGAATGTCAAATGCATGAAATTTGGGCACGTTAGTGAAGTTTGCAAGGTTGCAGTAACCTGCAAGCATTGAAGTGGCCTTCATGATGGTGATAACTGCAATGCTGTGGCCAAATGCCCAAACTGCTCAGGCGCCCACGACGCAACATCAAAGGAATGTCCCAAAATGAGGAATGAAGTTAGTATCCCGAAGAAGATGGTTCGAGACCACTCCACTCACAGAGAAACTGCAAGGGCTGTACGGCGCCGTAAACATCGTTCGCGACACCGACGCAAACGAAGCAGCAGTGCTCATAGCTTATCGCATTAGACACACAAAACTGTGCCCTCACCACCTCCTAGCTTACTTTTGTCGGCCAGAAAGGAGGATACAGATGCTCAAATGCCAAAACAGTCCACGCAAGTACAATGTAACCAGTCATTGGCTCTCACCACGTCGGAGACTCAGTGGCTTTCACTACCGTCAAGAGCTACGGTAGCGCCATCATCACATAGTGCCCCTATCCCCAATGAAGAAAACAAGAAGATGGACAACGCAGATGTCAAGGCTATGCTTAAAAATTTGATGGGTTCGATGCGTAAGATCCTCAGCAGCCTAAACACTCCCGCTGCTAAGGCGGTTGTGCAGCTACTTGAGGTTTTGGAGCCTCTTGTACTGGTTCTTCAGTAAGTGAACATGGCATTGATGTTCGAAGAACGCATGCGCCAGTCACTTGTTATGCAATAGAATGCTCGTGACCTACGTGGCCGTCTGTCAGACTTCAGACAATGGGTTTTTAAATATCAATTTCCTGTTATCGTTATATGTGAACCGAATATGGTTTCAACTTATTGTATATCTGGATATATCTAGATTTGGTCTCGCAGTGATCAACGCACGAGCAAAGTTCTCGTTTGTATACGCCGTGATTTGACGTTCTTGAGACACAAAGTCGCGTCGCATACCAGCAATGATTACGTGAGCCTGACTATAACTCTTAAAAAACGGACATTCTCAGTAATAGGAGGATACATACACCCAAGCGCACAGATGGACTGCTTCCACCTGGGGACCATTCTTCAAGCAACACAAAGGCCATACATTGTGATTGGCGATTTTAATGCACATCATCCTCTCTGGGGTAGCACTACAATGAATTATCGCGGAAGGGATTTGGCCAATTTTATATGCAACTATGGACTAAGCGTACTCAACGACGGATCACCTACATTGGTTCGTGGCACGTTCTACAGCAGCTGTCTTGACCTCTGTTTTGTTTCCCAAAGCCTTCTGTCTTCCGCATGTTGGTGCACAGATTTGGACACTCGCTGCAGTGACCACCTTCCAACCTATGTTCAGTTCAGGTGGTTTCACCGCACGCACACACGCTACATCCGTCAAACCGACTGGACACTGTTCAAGGCATCTGTCAAGTCTGGCTGTGAGCACACGACTGATCCATCCAAGGTAGAGAACATCATTGCTTCTTCACTGCGTTACACAACCAAACAGGTTAACCTACCGATGCAGAGATCAGCAGTTGACTCCCAATACAAGGCCCTTCGTGCAATCCGTCGCCGTGCCGAACGCCGATACAGACGAACGAAGTCACCTTCAGACCTTTCCGCCTGTCGTCGAGCTCAACGACATGTTCTTCGGCGCCTTGACAAGATTGACAGGCAGCGTTGGAGAACATTGTGTGGATCTCTGGACCCCAGGCAACCTCTATGTAAGATATGGCGGGTGGTACGAAGTTTGCAGACAACTCTCTAACAACGTCAACCATTTCAAGTTGTTGCTCTACATTAGGGGCGGACAGAAGTTGAGATAGCCAGTGACTACTGTAGCCTCATCGTGGACACCACTGATGGTCTTGCCACTAATGAGCCTCTTACTACCATTGCGCCTCCATCGTCTGACGAGCGCCTTGATGTATGTTTTACAATGCATGAGCTTGAAGCTGCGATTTCTGCCTCCCGCCGAGCATCGGCACAAGGACCTGACGGAATCACGTATGCTGCCCTCAACCATCTGGATATAGAAGCACGACGTATCCTGTTATCTAATTATACCACCTCATGGGAGTCAGGAGAAGTCCCAGCTAAATGGAAATTGCAGTCGCATTATTGCATTGCTTAAGCCAGGGAAGTGTCCTTATGCACTTTCTTCCTACAAACCAATCGCCTTAGCCAGCTGCGTCGGGAAAGTAATGGAAAGAATGGTACTGTCAAGATCAGAGTGGCTTCTAGAGAGCAACAACTCTTTTCCTGCATTTATGAACGGCTTCAGAAGAGGCCGATCTGCCATTGATAGTGTGGTCGACTTGATCACTAGCGTTGAAGAGTAAAGAAGCCGACGCAGACTAGTGGCGGCGATCTTTCTAGACTTTAAGGGTGCCTACGATAATGTGCTGCATTATGCGATCCTTGACGCACTGAAAGATTTGGACATCGGGGGATGACTGCATGCTTAGATTTTCAGCTACCTTAGGGACCGCACCATTTACATGACGACAAATAACGGAGACACCGATCGATATAAGGTTCATCGTGGTGTTCCCCAAGGAGGAGTTCTCAGCCCGATCCTATTCAATGTCACAATGATCGGCCTAGCAGCATAACTTCCCAGCGCGGTGAAGATCAGTGCATACGCTGATGACATATGCATATGGGCATCCGGAACTACCCGTCCGCAATTGCGAACTCGACTACAGCGTACAGTGACGATCACATAGAAATATCTACGACGTCAGGGGCTCACTCTTTCAATAGACAAATGCACAGTGCTTGCGTTCACGCGCAAGAATATGACGCAATACCCGATATTTATTAATGGACGCCGATACCTGCTGTAACGCACCACAAGTTCCTTGGGGTTGTCGTACACAGAGATCTATCGTGGACGAAGCATGTCGCAGTACTTAAATATAAATTGAAGATCTTTGCTCTCGTTCTTCGCTACGTAGGAGGAGCAAGATGGGGCCCATCAGAATCATCGCTACTTCAATTGTATAATGCTCTATTTGTGGGATACATCCGATACAGCATGCTGGTGCTCTCCAATATGAGACCTAGTTGTGTGAAGACGCTAGAGAGTGTTCAAGCTCAATGCTTACGAAGATGCTTGGGTCTACCGCGTTGTACTTCAACAAATGGGACAATCGCAGAGACTTGAGCTTGTCCCATCAGTGTATACATGCTCTGCGAGCCACTTAGAGTTCACCTCCGATTGCTGAGCCGACACAGACAGCACCCACTGTCAGTACTACCCGCCACTCACCCAGATTGCAGTTTCTCAAGAGTAATATTGTGGCATGAGAAAATTATACCATCAAGGCTTTCCCCGCCAAAGGCCCCTGCAGTGCCTCCATGGGTCCTGCCTAAACCACCTGTTTGTTTTATGATACCTAGAATTACGAAGAAGTCGTTCATTTCTTCTGTTGGCCTCAGGCAACTGACCCTATATCACATTTATACAACGTACAGTGATTCTCTGCACGTGTACACTGATGGAGCCACCACGCTAAACACCTCCGCCGCAGCCTTTGTCATCCCAGACATGAATATCGCTCGATGATTCAAAGTGGACCATAAAACCCCATCAACTGCCGCAGAGCTTGTCGCTATCCGGGAGGCAATAAGATTTATTTCCGGAGAGCGACCTCGAGCCTGGACGATTTTCTGTGATGCCAAACCTGCTTTGCAAACCATTAATTGCATCATGAAGCAATATTCGTATAACAGCTTGGCAATAGAAATCACAGAAATTATTCAGGTTACTTCAACAAATGACCATCTCATCACTTTCCAGTGGATTCCCGCTCATTGCGGCGTGATGGGAAACGAAGAGGCAGACGCTCAAGCTAAAAATGCCTTAAGCAGTGCCCCTGAAGTACGCATTGCGTTTTCACGAGCTGACACGAACGCCCTGCTTCGCTGTGTGATGCGCAGCTATACACTTCAGCACTGGACCAAACCGGAACGGTGACACCTCCGACTTCACAAATGGGACCCGGAAATGAGGTTCCGCATGCCCCCTAAATTGAAACGGCAACTCACAAGTATGATCCACCGCATTCGTCTTGGTGTGGCGTACACAAGACATTACTCACATATCGTCGGTCGCAGTGACACCGGTCCTAATTGTGTACACTGTAATGTGCCAGAAACGCTTGAGCACATATTTTGTGTCTGCCCAGCATACGCACGTGAACGACAAACGCTGATTCCTTCTACTGAACTATATCGCACTAGGTCATTAACCGATGAGACCGTGTTGGGCCCTTGACCAGACACCAACAGTGTAATTGCGGTCACAAGAGCACTTATAACCTTTTTTGAAACAACTGGACTATATGCGCGGCTATAGAATGTGTCTCAGCTAGAAAGAACACTAGATACTCACCTCTCTATCTCACCATCGACATCCATTAATCTTTCTTTTCCCCTTTCTCTTACCCCAGTGTAGAGTAGCAGGCTAGAGCAAGCTATCGCTCAGGCCGACCTATCTGCCTTTCTGTAAATAAACTTATCTCTCTCTCTCATAATAGTACTACAACTACGCTTGCACAACGTGCATCTTCGGTTCACTTTAAAGAATCGTTGGTGTTGGTAACTAATTTTATCATTTTATTTTATTCCATTTTTATTTCCTTAAAAGAACACTACAGCAAATAACAATCTATTTCAGAGTGAAAGCTCAGTGTATGACAACGCCTAAAACAGCCATGTTATCAACAGCGGTACCCTACTTACCGACAAATTGAGTTAAGTGTACCACAGGATGGGCCCCGAGAGTGAATATTTTGGAAATGATCCAGGTGACGTGACAGCGTCCAACTGCAATTAATCACTCGTAATCAAACTGGATGCGATAAAAAAGAACCTTTTATGCATCACGAGACACAATGAAACGCTGCTTGTGCATTTCTGCTAGACTTGTAAACAAAGAACCGCCTGCCGTTACTGCGGGGAATGACGCAAGAGACTGAAAATCCCGTTTTTGCCTGGTTAGGCTAGATAGGTGGTGCTATCTAGTGAAACCCAGTTGAACCAAGGAAGCAGATTTATGGCCTTTGAGATGGCAGAAAATTGTTCGATGGCTTTTGTTGCTGCATCTATTGTCGGCTGCCGCGCAGTAAAGCCGGGCAACGTTGTACACCGCAAGAATGCGGGAGACGGACCACTTTAAGGCGGGGGATTTGAGGTTCACTAACGCGATGTGGACCTCTAAAACGGAACCTTATTTTAAAGTAAGAAATTTCTTGGCACAAAAGTAGCACTACAAGGTTTCTGGACCGCTATTTTAACAGTCAACATAAAGTTGACATTTGCCTCTAGTGTCTCTCTAAACACCCCCATGGGGCGAGTTCACATACAATCGACAGAGTTGTCTCAATGTTCAATGTAGATATACATTTGAAATACTATGCATGAAGCTTTATGAGCAGGTGATTGTAGCAATATCGAAAGAAAGGCCATTACACTCCACATTAACTTACTATAGTGCGCACTCATTCGTTATATGGCATCTCTTATTGACCCCGTTGCTTCGGAAAGTTACCTCAATCATAATAAATGTTCCTTAGATAGCACATGCTTTAAAATGATGCTGTGTTTAAAACCTAAATGCAGAGATAACGCGTGAACAAAACGGTGAAAACAGGGGCTCAATACTTGCGCTTACGAACGCTTACTTCAAAAAGCCGCGAGCATTTTTTTTCTCTGCTGCAAACGTGGAGGGGACCATAGCTGGGATGACCGCACGCCAAAGTCACCTATTAGAAAACAAACTTCGAATGTAATGAATTCGTGTATCATATTTAAAATTGTTTAGCCGGGTATTGCAGTCTTTGACAAAATACGTTGTGTCTTCACGTGGGCGTAAGCACAGATAAGATATTATTACGATGTATGGTCGTTTTTTGCGACTACGCATCTCAGTGGAAACTGGGGACAAAGTTGAAGCAAAGTTTTTCATGCCCCGAATTGATTTGTGGAGCGTATCTGGATTGTTTGTGAGCGTATACATGAGTTCAGTTGAGTGACATTGTCAAACAACTCTCTCTCTCTCTCTTTTTCTCTTTAAAAATATTTTTGCAAGTGAAAGGTTCCCGATAATCTTATAAATCTATGAAACATTTCAAATATTTGCACCTTTTCATTACTGGAGATCACTGACAATGTGTTTACATAATGTAGAGAACAAGAGACGCACTGGCTATTAGTATGTTGAGACGCTGTTCCCGTTGCCTTGATTCTCAAGATAAAAGCTTCATACTTAAATGCTCACTAACTAAGTGAACGCTAGCTTCTAAAAGAATGTTCTACACTCAGGCAAAACTCGAACAAGGTGGCTCACGACGCACGAGTTTAAACAGCGGAGCTGTTTTAGCGTAGTATTAGTCTAAAACGTCGACAGAAATTATCATCACGGATCGGCACACACTATCTTCATCGTCGTCTTCATCTTGTGCTTCACTCGCCGAACGCGTGCAACCATTTGCCTGGCGCGGAGTGCAATAACTCTGGTGGGTGAGAGAATGAGTATGGAGAGAGAGGAAGAAAGGAAAAGGAGAAAGAAACGCATGAAAATTCTTGAGGAGGCGGGATTCCGAACCTGCGCACCCGCTATCTCATGGTGAGCGTCCCACTAGGCTATTCAGGGAACACTAGGAGAGCCCAGCATAGCTTTGTATAGTAGAGTATAGTAAGCGGACGGGACAGGAAAGTGATGGTAAAGAGGAGAGACGCGAAGGTGAGAAGGAGAGAAAGGAGGAGGGAAGAGAGTAAAGTATAGCATAGAAAAAAATACGCGGGAGATAGGTAGAAAGAAAAGAAAGAACGATTAGTGAGAAAAAAAGACAAAAAGAATGTAGAAACAAGCGAGAAAGAAGGAGAAGGAAATATAGAAAAAGCAAGAAAAAGGAAAAGTATACACAGAAATAAGTAGAAAAAGAAACAAAGAAGGCCACCGATCTCCGCACTTTCCTTCAGCCTTGCCACCACTAGTGCAAAGCTGCCTTTAATTTTTGCGTGTACATCAATATTCAACGCTTTATTCAACACTGAGTAGAACGTCAGAAACGGCTAATGGCTGCATAATTATCATTCATTACAAATACTATTGCGCGCACTGGTGTACATCACGTTGTATATCGATAAACATCCAGGTTAAGATACGCCAGATGTCACTGCTGGGAGTTGGAGTGTCCTTAGCTGGTCTCGCTGTTGCCGCGTCCTTGGAGAAGTTTCTCGACGACCTGTAAGTATGGGAACAAGCCAATTATTTGTGGGTGAATGTGAAAAAAAGGAGCTATAATGGAAATACTGGAGATAGCATAATGATGCTTCACTGTTGCATCACAATGCAACTACTGTTATTTGAAATGACTTAAGTAAAAATATTCCCAGGCCTCACGAGATTGGTGACTATGTATACGAGAAGCCTTGTCTCAAAACTGGGTAATCGTATTGTTACCGACGTACGTTATTCTCTGATACCTCTGTACAGAGCCCACTTTCTAAACATATTAGCACAAATTTCTTAAATCTTTGTTCCACTCCTACGTTTTCTCATCTAGTATCTTAACGAACAAGAATTACATTTCACTGCATTCACATTGTTTAGAACAAAAGAAAGTAAATCTAGCTGGTACAGATTATAGATAAAAAAGGTCGGCGAGCAGACAGGAATGCCAGAGGAGAGATAATACAACATAACACCTCACTGGTGAGGTGAAAAGAGCGTAATGCGTGCTGTTACGAAGCGCGCCTCCGACGACGTTAGGAAGGGCGCCACGAATCTCGCCGTTGCCACCACTGGAACGAAAGACGGGGCGACGCCAACACGGTCCCGAAGGCGCCACTGCTTCGAACACCACCGAGAAGGTCACCAGCCGTTTGGTAGCGTAGGTTTTTCAGCTCGCGACTGCTTCTGCGCAGAGCTGATAGACGAGCGGACGATACGACGGTGAGTTAAACAAGGTTTATGCACAGCAAAGACATAGAGGCGTTACAAATTCGGCACTTGGACCGACAGCTTAGAGACTCGAACAGCCGAGCTCTCTCCTCTGACACATAGGTCTACTACTCGCGACGCGCCGCAGGGCTTTTTTATATGCGCCGGGTGGATTATTTGAGCAACCAAAGGTCCAACCAGAAGCGCCGCTGGTCGTGAGGTCAGAATCCTCCAATGGGATCGCCGCTGGGCCGCGTCATTCTCATCAAATCTGGAGCCGCTGCGCTGCACGTAGCTGCACCCAAGGACGAGTGACGTCGCCACGCATTGCGTCAGACTCGCCAGACAGGAAGGCGCCGATTGCATCTACGGGCTCGCTGGCTGAGGTGACTCACTGTGCGTGCGCGGCAGAAAGGCACCGCCGCGTGATGACGCCGTTGAGTTGTTCGCGTCAGGCGGGCTCGCGTGCTGGCCTTGACGCAGATTGCCTTTTTCAGAGGCATGGACGTTCGCCGTGGACTCGCAGGCATAACAGTGCACTGATCTGTTGTCGTCCCCTATTCCTTTTTATCCTTGTACGAAGCCAAACTTCTTTTGCCATGAACCTTAGATTTGTTACTGACCATACAACCTGAACGTGCTGCCGAAATGTCGTACATGATTAACTCTTTTTACGTCGTCAAGCTTCCCTAACGTGTTAGCTGGTGTCACAACCAAATTTATTTAAAGGCGTTGTGACTGTTTGTCGTTTTAATTTGACATCCACACTACTACTCCGGCACATTGGGAGAAAAAGTGAGGAGGAAGATTGCGGTTGGGAGATGAGGGCGAGCCGCATGAACATAATACAAAATCCTGGAACAAAGGCATCTGTCTCATTTCGGAACACAGTTTCTAAAACAAAAAGTATTAAGAATTTAATTAGTAATAGAGGGGGATGAAAAATGAATTTTTTTACTCCAGAGTGTGCAGGATAGGCAATCATATTGGGATAAAAGGTATATAAAATCATGGCTTGATTAAGACACCGTTACTTTTTTATAGTGCAGGAAAAAGCGCGAAAATGGTTATGAAAGTCCAGACAACACATACAATTACTGGGCGCAGAGATGTCGCGAGGGCTTTTGAAAAGCAAGCTGACAAAATCGAACCTCACTGCTGTATTTACAACGCCTTCGAGGAGCTTAGGGCCACGGTCCTCATCTCGCAGCGAGAAAGACTTTGCCTCTCACCTACGGGTAGGGAAATATTATGTTGCTTAGGATATCCTGCACGGCCTCAATACAGTGACGAGGAAATGGTGCCCCTTTCCGCTCGTATCCGTGACCAAATCCATATCACTCCTATACCGAAAAACATGGATCTGTTGTACCATGCACCGAGCGCGTCGCAACGCCAGAGCTCGGCAGCTCACCAAACAGTTTCAAACGAACCCAGACACCCTCTATATGGATGCAGCCCGCTGCGGTATCCATGGCATTTCATTGGCCGCGGTTGGTTCGGTACACAGCCCGGTTTTATTCACCTGTGCTTCAGCTAAGATGAACTGAGTGGGCGCGGCGGAAGCCCTCGCGGGCTTCCGCCGCTCCCACTCAGTTCATCAATACCAAAGACGTTATGGGACAGCAATCTTATGCCCTCACGGGCTCTCAAATAGCCTGTCAATATTTCATTAACGGCCGTGTACCTGCGTGCGTCGCTCGCCACCTAAGTGCAACAGTAGACCAGGAGCACAGCATCATGTGGTGCCCCGGTGTCACAGAACGAGCGCTCAAAAGGGGTGCGCCGCCAAATTCTCGCGACGACCTGCCGGAGTGACGCCGCGAGGTCAACGAAAAAGAAAGAAAAAGAAAACAAACATTTAAAGGCTCCCCGGGCGCGCGAGCCTCTCCTCTCGGAAGCGTGGCTTCGCCGACGAACCTCCTCACCCCACAACGGCAGCCGAGCAAGCACTGGAAATTTCTAGAAGGAAAGGGGCGTGATATGCCCGGTTGAGTCATCTGTCGGGGACGGCCCTCGTACAGTCTCGCGCCTTCCCCCAGCCTCCGCTGCGCATCGCGCCGACGAAATGATGAGAACTTTCTGGAATGTCTCGCGGAAGGTATTTAACCGAGCAGCGGGGATGAGAGATCAGGAGAAGACGGAAGTTAGCGCCAGAGCGCGTAGGGTATCCCGCCGTGTAGTCGGCGAAGATTTTGTCCGTAGGGACAAAGCAGGAGAAGACGTGAGGTTTCCTGGAAGAGAAACTTCGGAGGAGAAGACAGAAGTTAGCGCCAGAGTGCGTAGGGATTCCACCGTGTAGTCGGCGAAGGTTTTGTCCGTAGGGACAAAGCAGGAGAGGACGGAAGTTAGCGCCAGAGCACGTAAGGATTCCGCCGAGTAGTCGGCGAAGGTTTTGTCCGCAGAGATAAAGCAGGCGAAGAAGAAGAGGATTTCCACCTGAGAGGTGAAGGCTCGAGCTACAGGCAAGAGCGTGTGTCTACCGCTATCGAGCGAAGACGCGTGGCAACAGCTGCGTGTGTGAAGCCGACGTGTTTCCGGCGAAGAAGTTGGAAGCTTGGAGAGCGGCCAAGTGAAGACGCGAGGTTTCCTGGAAGAGAAATTTCGGGGGCAGCGGAATGACAACAACGCTGGACTTTGAGTGAGTGATTCTCGGAAGGGTATCATTCAGACTTTTGTTCCAAGAACTTTGGACTAAATAAGTTTTCTAACTCTTTAGTCTTTAAGTGTCTTGGTTGTTCAATGCATGCGACTGCATTGTAGTGCGTATTGTTGTCTGTGTCCATTGTTTCGAGTGTGGCTGATTGTACTCTGTAATACGTTGTTTGATTGGTGACATATTGTATGTGTGAAGAGGTTTATTAGCCGTTAAAGGCAGCGACGAGACAGCGTGATGAACCGTCCAGCGATCGGCACAGCAACGAACCGAAGCACGAGCCGAGAGAGCCGGGCGTTGGCGATGCTGCTCGCTGCAGGCACATCTTCTTCTTCACAATCGCCCCCGCTGAAAAAAAGGAGCCATCCTGGCGACTTAAGAAGTTTCAGGCAAAGGCTCATGGTACGGTTTCAGTCGGGAAACATGCACGATGTCACGTGCACGCCGGCGCATGTCGTCCGATCGGGAAACTGGTTCAATTAGGAAATTAACCGGAGAGGTTTTCTCCAAAACGGTGTAAGGCCCCTCGTACCGGGGGACAAGTTTCGAGGAGAGTCCCGGTGTTTGGTATGGGATGGCAAGCCACACAAGAGACCCTGGGGCGTAGCTGGGATCCGGAAGAGAGGTGCTACGGGTTTCTTTCTGGCGTTGTTGCTCTTCCGAGGTGAACGCACGGGCGAGCTGGCGGCACTCTTCGGCTTGTCTAGCAGCATCGGAGATAGGTGGACACTCGGAAGCATCAGGACGGTAAGGAAGTAGGGTATCAATTGTATGGGAAGGCTCACGTCCGTAAAGAAGAAAGAAAGGTGAGAATCCCGTGGTGGTTTGTATTGCGGTGTTATATGCGAACGTGACGTATGGGAGAACACGGTCCCAGTTGCTATGATCAGATGCCACGTACATTGAGAGCATATCACCTAGCGTGCGGTTGAACCGTTCCGTTAGTCCGTTAGTCTGCGGGTGGTATGCTGTCGTTTTCCGATGAATGACGTGGCATTCCGAAAGCAGAGTTTCGACGACCTCGGAAAGGAAAGCGCGGCCTCTGTCACTAAGGAGCTCTCGAGGTGCACCATGTCGAAGGATAAAGCGTTGCAAAATGAAAGAGGCGACATCCTGAGCTGTAGCGCTCGGCAAAGCGGCTGTTTCGGCGTAGCGTGTCAGGTGGTCAACCGCCACTATAATCCACCGATTACCATCTGGTGTCAATGGAAGGGGACCGTAGAGATCAACGCCGACGCGATCAAATGGCTTGGCAGGGCATGGAAGTGGCTGCAATGCGCCAGTCGCACGTGGCAGTGTTGATTTACGTCGCTGGCAGTCAGGACAGCACTGCACAAATTTACGTACAAAATTGTACATGCCGCGCCAGTAATAGCGATGGCGAAGGCGTTCATATGTTTTGAACACTCCGGCGTGGCCACATTGTGGATCGTCGTGAAGGGAGGCGCATACTTGCGATCGTAAAGTGCGTGGAATGACCAGCAACCACCGGCGGCCATCGGGAGCGTAGTTGCGTCGATGAAGAAGTTGATCGCGGATGGCGAAATGGAAAGCTTGACGTCGGAGGGATCGAGATACTGGAAGGTTGGGCGTGCCAGATAAATATTCGATAAGAGAGGCGATCCACGGGTCACGACGTTGTTCGGTG